CCCCCTTTCTCTTTTATATACGGGGGCAGGGGGCACCCTAGAACACAAAAGTTGATCATTGATCCCTTAGCCGTGTGCAGTGCCCCCCTCCACCATAATCCACCTCGATCATATCGTAGCGGTGCTTAAGGCGAAGCCCTGCATCGGTAGCAACATCATCACCGTCATCACGCTGTCGTGCTGACGGAACTCTCCCGTGAAGCTCTGCTGGATCGGAGTTCATGAAACGTCATCGAGTTGAACGTGTGCTGAACTCGGAGGTGCCGTGCGTTCGGTATTTGGATCGGTTGGATCGTGAAGACGTTCGACTACATCAACCACGTTCTCATAACGCTTCCGCTTACGGTCTACAAGGGTACGTGGACGATACTCTTCCCTCTTGTTGATATGCATCACCATGATCTTGCATGTGCGTAGGAATTTTTTTGAAATTACTACGTCCTAACACTACCACCAGGGCGCGCCAGAGGGGGTGGCGCGCCCTGGTGCCTAGTGGGCAGCTTGCCCCCCTCCAGTGGGTCTTGGTTCTAGTAATTTTTATATATTCTAAAATAATTCTCCAAAAGTCCAATTCTGAGAACTTTTATTTCTGCACAAAAAACAACACCATGGACCATGGTAGTTCTGCTAAAAACAACGGTAGTCCGGGTTAGTTTCATTCAAATCATGCAAAGTAGAGTCCAAAACAAGAGCAAAAGTGTTAGGAAAAGTAAATACGACGGAGATGTATCCTGTTTTTATCAGGAGGTTTTTAAAATATAACATGAAACACATCATCCATAGAAATTTTAGCATCAGCAAGTTGCTCATCTACATATCCTTTCTGATTACCGGCTACAATCCAAAAGTATGGTTGGTTAATATCATTGAAGACTTGTTGAATCATACTTAATGGAAGGACTTCCTTTCTAAGATTTTCATCAAAGATGCGATCATTGCGAAGCAAATGCCTTAACATATAATCACTATTATAAAGGATCTCATCTATTACCGGTTTTTCACGGTTCATACCATAAAAATCAAAGATTTCTCTAGCTTCTCGCACTATGTGATCAAATTCATTCATGAGGACAATAGTTGCTATCTTTTTAGCCCTGTGATTTTTTATAACTGGCAACTCATAAAATAATCTTTGTAAAGTTGGATGAGTACGGATAAATTTTCTAGTTTAAGAACAAGTGCGGAAATAGCATTGACATAAGTCTTGGTTCTTTTAAGTATAGGGGCATCATCACAAGCTAAAGTCCCAACGCAATGAAAAAAATTATTGGATGACACCTTTCCCTATAACATTCCCTTGTCCCAACACAAAAGTTTTAGCATCAAGATTAGCAGAACTTCCAATTTTAGGATGCCTACCATCATCAATTTCTGCCATACCATAACCACTCATGATGAAAGTTTCAAAGCAAACAATGAGACACAAAAAAGGCAAACGAAAAATATTTTTATAAAAAAATTTATAAGTGAGGGAGATGAAAACGAGAGGCAAATGGCAAATAAAGTATTTGCAAGGAGATGAGAGTTTATGCGTAGGCACTTGATAGATGTTGATGATGTCTCCCTACCAACAGCGCCAGAAATTCTTTCTGCTACTTGTGAGCTGCGTTGGGATTTCCCCAAAGAGGAGAGGAGGATGCAGCATAGTAGAGATAAGTATTTTTCTCAATTATGAAACCAAGGTTATCAATCCCAGTAGGAGAACCAAGAAATACTATGTAAATAACACCTACACACAAACAATAAATACTTGCAACCCAACGCGTAGAGGGGTTATCAATCCCTCCATGGGATTGAGAAAGATAAATTGTATGGGTTTTGATAAATAGATCTAACTAAAAAACAAAATAAAATAAATAAAAGAAAATGGCAGCAAGGTATTTTTAGGATTTTATATGATAAAAGATAGACCCTGGGGGCGTAGTTTTCACTAGAGGCTTCTCTCGAGAAAATAGCATACGGTGGGTAAACAAATTACTGTCGGGCAATTGACAGAAAAGCAAATAATTATGACGATATCCAAGGCAATGATCATGTATATAGGCATCACGTCCAAGATTAGTAGACCGACTCCTACCTACATCTACTAAATGGAGTAATGCCTTAAGAAAGATGACATGATGTAGACAAGATAAACTCACGTATGAAATAAATCCCATCTTGTTACCCTTAATAGCAATGATACATGCGTGTCATGTCTCTTTGTGTCACTCAGATTGAACACCGCAAGATCGAACCCATCACAAAGCACCCCTTCCCATGGCAAGAGAACTCAATCTAGTTGGCCAAACTAAACCAATAATTCAAAGAAGAAATATGAGGCTATAACAATTATGCATAAAAGAGTTCAGAGATAACTCAAATAATATTCATGGATAGATCTGATCATAAACTCACAATTCATCGGATCCCAACAAACACACCGCAAAAAGCCATTACATCAAATAGGTCTCCAAGAACACCGAGGAGAACATTGTATTGAAGATCAAAAAGAAAGAAGAAGTCATCTAGATACTAACTACGGACCCATAGGTTTGTGGTAAAATACTCACGCATCATCGGAGGGGCAACAAGGATGATGGAGAACCCCTCTGTGATCGTTTCCCCCTCCGGCAGTGTGCCGGAAAAGGCCTCTAGATTGGATCTCATGGTTTTGGAACTTGCGGCGATGGAAAAAGTTTTTTGTGGACTCCCTTGAGGGTTTTGGGATTTTAGAGTATTTATAGAGGCGGAGGTAGGTCAAAATGATGCCCGTGGGCTCCAGTACCCATCAGGGCGCCCAGAGGTCCTTGGCGCGCCCTGGTGCCTAGTGGGCTCCACTTTCATCTACTCGTGGCCTCCAGAAGCTTCTAGGGTCTCTTATCATCAGAAAAAATCTCCAAAAAGTTTCGTGGCATTTGGACTTCGTTCGGTACGAATATTCTGCAAAGTGAAAAACAAGCAAAAAACTACAAGTGACACTGGGCACTAAGTCAATAGGTTAGTCCTAAAAAATGATATAAAGTTGCTTTTAAATATATACAAAACATCCAAGATTGATAATATAATAGCATGGAACAATAAAAAAATATAGATACGTTGGAGACGTATTAGTACCCTACCAAGGAATCATGCACCATCACCCTTGGCGCGAGACGCGGTGATGCTCCTCGGCAGCACATAGCCCAACTCCGGCCCTGACTCGAGGCCTCCTCCAGGTGGAGTTCGATCTAAATTAGAGGGTGGAGTGGAGGAAGAGGGAAGGAGAGGGATGTCTGTGAGAGGGGATCGGGAGAGACAGTCAGGAGAGAGGGGGTATCGAGAAGAACTATTTTTTTCTTTAGGAGGAGAAAGTGGTCGATGGTGTCTCGCGAAGAGTTGCATGCGAGTGAGATATGCGGCAAGTGGTGGGACCTGGATCGGAAGATTTATGGAGTAAACCAACCTACAGATGTTGTGATACAAAAAACCCAGAAAACCAAACGCTAGGTGCTTTAGTATTGTTATTACTTATTAGTATAGAACACAAATATTCTAACTGGTGTTTTTAGTATTGTTATTATAATGTACATATTTTTTGAAAACTAGTAATAAGGAAAAAATCTAGCATATAAAAAATGGCGGGATTAGCCATGTTTATTCTTAATGCACAAAAATGGGTCGCACTAACCGTATTTTTATCCGAAGTGCACCATAAAATGTTATCTACATGGTGGCTTATGACCAAGCGGTCAGCTCGGTAAGCCATCAACAAAAAACTGCAATCAATGATAAATGATTTTTGAGAGGGTGTCTGTTTCCACTGACTTTTTGGTGTAGGGACTAAAAAAAGTCCTTCTTAGAGACTTTTTAACCAAACGGGAGGGACTACTAGGGACTAAAAGTTGCCTTTTGTGACTAAATGAAGAAGACTCTCAAGGAGAGTCTTTTTTGGGACTTTTTCAACAATGCCCCTCCATGCACCCATTGGCCCGCCACCCCATGATGTTGTTTGGTTGTTATTTTTCTATATACTAGGGGTAACATGGTCATTTAATAACCTCTAGAGAGGGACTAGAGACTTTTTAGTCCGTGGAAACAAACAGGAAGAGACTTTTTGGGGACTAGGGAATTTTTAGTTGGGACTAGAAAAAGTCCTAAGACTTATGAACCAAACAGGGCCTGATTGTGACGTTCACTACATGGTGGCTTGTGCCATAGACGGGACTGCTCGAGGTCATGGGTTTGATTCGCTGTGGTGTGTTATTTCCACACGAATTATCCTTCGTACCGTTTTCCTACGTGTGGAACTGCACAATTACAGAGATGCAATGGTGTTTCACTTTTTTAAACCAATTTAGCACTAATTCAGTTTTTCTTTTGCAAACATGTGATGCTTCAGTCACTAACAGTGGGCCAGGCACCACATTGGCACGCCACCACATAGGCGCTTCCTACGTCTACAAACTGGAGTTGAACCGTATTTGCATTACGAGACAAGTTTAAGCATCAATGACCAGTTTCATGTATTTTTCACTTTTAAGCACCAAAATGATCATCATGTTCAACTTGATGTATCATCGGTGTATTTGCCTCATTTTCCGAAGGAGGAGATAAATATGCTGTCTTTACAGTTGAGAAATATGCTTTTTTTATGGGCTTTTTTTTTTGAGAGGGGAAAGAAACGAGACCTCACTCTGTCGGGCCGACGGATGGTGGCCCAGTAGCATAGCCCAACAGTCCCTTGACGGCTTTCCCAGGCCGGACCACCAAAAAGCGCAGAAGGGCAAACGCATCTCTGCTGTCCTCTGACCTCTCCTCTCCTCTTCCTCATCTCCGCGGACACGGCAAAGCTTCCTTCCCAAAATCCCCAAATCGAAGCCGAGGAAACTCTCTCCCGCACGACCCAACAGCCCCCGTCCCCCGCCGATAGCCGCCGTCCGCCTCGCCCGCCTGCCGGCCGCCCGCCTGCCCGCTCGCTCGCCCGCCAGGTTTCGCTTCGCCCGCTAGCCGAGGCATCGGGGCGGATTGGATCGCCGGCGATGGACTGGAGCGCGGTGACGGCGGAGGACCTGGTGGCCGCGCTGCGGGAGGTGGACTGGTCCACGCCGCCGCGCCCCGTCCCGGAGTTCTTCTCCCGCTTCACCGTCCCCCGCTCCTACTCCAAGTGGACCAGCCGTCTCAAGTGCAACCTCTACTAGTACGATCCGCCTCCTCCCCCCTCTAACCCGTCTTACCGTTTCCACGATTTGTCTGCCAACTCGGCTGGCCGATACAAGTTTGGGCGAATTCGCCAGGGATTTGTGCTGGTGTGACGAGGTTTTGACTGACTCCACGGGATCTGTGCGTGTTTTGAGTTGATTGGTGAATGGATAGGGGCATCAGGCGCTCCCTGGATCCATGGAAAATAGAGTAGGGGTATATGCGTGTGCTTCAGACTCCTTCTGATAGCCCTTCGTTTAGTGTAGATAAATCCATCAACGGTGCTAAGAGGTTTGAATGGAGAATTCGATGAGCACATATGTGCATGTCATTGTATACTGTGATGTTAGTCGCTAAGAGTGTGCATAGGAGTAGCAGGTAGCTTGAAGGCATCATGTTGGATATTTCTTGCTGGAATCCATGTATCTGTGAGATGAGAGCAAGACTCCATTTTTTCACTTAAAGCATGTCAAATTCTGCTTCTAGATGCAAAGTGATCTAAATATGGGCTTGATTCAACTTACGTGAGCTGGTGAGGTGAAAAAAGGGATAATTATTCTGATAAATGTTAACTACTCCCTCTGTCCCATAATATAAGAACGTTTTTGACACTATACTAATGTCAAAAACGTTCTTATATTATGGGACGGAGGGAGTAGTATGCATGCCAAAGTAGTATTAATTCATGAAGTTAGCATTGTGGAAGTTCATTTTGAAGACATGGTTTGTGTGGTTTCGTTTTTGTCATGTACTGAAGTTCTTTTCTCAACTTTTGTTTGATCTGCAGCTACAGGACAAACTACTTCATCTTGATCATGTTCATTCTTGGTAAGCAATGAAAGATTTGAAGATTATTTATCTTCCTGTTTTTTGTTTGGTTTTGACATGCTGCCATTTGTATATATGAAGGGCTGGGTTTCCTTTGGAAGCCAGTTGCTATTCTTGCAGCTTTTATGACTGGATTCAGCATTGCATTTCTTAATGACAGGTATACGAGTACTTAACTAATAGCTTTCCTTGCATTGTTCTTGTAACTCGGTTCTGATCAGATCGTTTTTAGTTTGTTATGTTAAAATGCGCTCTTTACCATGATTAACAAAGATAATGCATCAGTAGTGGAACATTCTTTGTAAATTATATTACGTGATGGACTTCAGTCACAGCAGATTAGTCATCAGATCATGATCACATATGCTCCCTTTTTTATGTATAGAATTGCATAAACATGCACAAAAAATGTGTAGCCATCATAACTTAGGTTCTGTAGCCGAAGGGACAGTTTGCTCATTAATCATTATCACTAAAATATAATGCAAGTTGGAAAATAGCGTCATTATTATGTGCTTGGCAAGTCGGCCAATGCTTCACTTGTCAGCCTATCCAATATATAAATATATTTGTGGTTTGCAAGGTTATTAAGCTATTTTTCTCTTATGAAGAAGTGAATACGTAGTTTCTGACAATCCTATAGGCTATAATAAACTTGGCGGCTAGCATTATAATTTATTTTATGGGTAAATCAATCAAGGGTACATTTTATGTACATGCCGCTAACATTGAAACCTTAACAGCTTCCTAATTCGATAATACACCATTGTTTATGTAGGACGTTGGAACAAATTGTATGCTAGCTGCATGCTTGTTATTATACCAACACTGTATGGCGCTCCTTTTTTGCCAATGAACCAGAGAGCACATCATTAGATTCCTAGACTTGGGTAATTGACCAGTTGCTGTACTAGACCTAAATGTTACCTTTTCAAATATAAGCTAAATGCAATATTCATATAAATTTCACAGAATGTAGCACAAGTTATTCCATCTCGAGGTTATACCAGTACTGCAATACTGCAGTCCTTTGACACAGTGGAAGTGTTAGGAGTTAATTTAGCAAATCAGGGGCATGCTTTATCAAGTTATTTCCTTGTGTTATAAACCCGATGTTACTTAATGCCACCATATGATGCCTGCCAACTGCCAAGCATCTTAGATCGCAGTGTTACATGCACTAGTTAGGGGCCAGCCAGGCTACTTATTATTCAAATATATGATCCTCTTAAGAAAGTTAGGATTAGATAATCAGGGGGCAAGTTATCTGTTCCTCTATGTGATAGATGGCGTGTACTCATCTATGATCGGTTAGGCAATTAATAAAGAAGTCGTGTTCCAATTTCTTGCTGCCTTCCCTACTCCCATCACCTCCCTCTTGTCTCTCGAGCCTAGTCTCATCTACCTTATGATATACGACCATTACATGCAGCAGCAGAGTAGGATAAAAATATATCTGATAGATACAGTTGAAAAGCAACTTAGGTTCTACAGCATTGGGCCATAGTTGTATTGGAATAATGCATATAATTGTCACAAGCATGAAGGATTATTAAATATATAAAATTGTTGTAGCCTTTTAGGGTTGTTTTTCCTTGTGTCTATTCGTGATTCATGGTTCTTAAATCATTAAAAGTTTCTCCACATGTAAAATGATAACAATTGATTTACCAAGTGTTCGAATGGTGATTAATTAACTAACTATCATGTGTGATGATGCAGTTTTGCTGTCACTTTTAATGAGAAAGTCACACGAACTGTCAGGCAGTTCTCACCACATTTAGCTGCAAAGATGAGACCACCGATAACGTAAGGAACACTATACTTTCTAATGTTTCCTTATTTATTTTAACGCGGGTTACTATTATAGTGTTGTTAATACTCTTTGTCAACACTGGCAGCCCTGTTATTCGTGGTCGACCAAGCTCGAAGAGATCAATTCATATTTGTGGTCGGCCTCGCTGGTTGTTTGTTCTTTTATTTTCGGCAGGTGAGCAGGACCAAACCTTCCGTCGTATAATCCTATGCAACATACCACATTTCAAAAAACTTGAACTAAGCATTTTTTTTCATGTTTGCAGTTAGCTGCATGCTCTGGTTGACCTCATGCAGTCTCCTCACGGTTCTATGGGCGCTTCTCATTGCTCTGCTTAGTAAGGACGGTGTAGAGTTCTTTGTTTATTTTTTGGAACTCTGTATTTATCTTGGAATGTCCTTATTAATTTGTCTTTCTGTTGGCAGCAACGGTACTTCATGCCAGCTTCAGAACACCTAATTTGAAAGCACGTCTGAATACGTTCAGAGAGGAATTCCGAGCAGTTTGGCGGAATTATAGTGAGCTCTAGAGCTCCCTCAGTTTCAAGGTTGGTTCCTTCATGCCTGTTCAGGACAAGCATAGGTCTGTTTTATACCCAAAACCATTTGCATGCACCAGGTGACACTCATTTTCCCATGTGTGTATGTTCAGGTGATAAGATGTGCTTAGCGCTGAAGCTTCCCTGCTGTCTGTGCATTGTGTCTGTGGGAGATGTACAAAGGTGATACGCAGTTGTGATTACTGGCTCATTTGGAGGTGGACCAGGACCGACTCTGTAGGTGATGCTATGCCTCGGTCCGCAGTCCTCCGTATCACAGTAGTTGTTCCTTTGGACTTCTCCCTATATAACCAAAGCTTTGGAGGAAGAACAGCATGTAAAGGATGTAAACAAAGTATTCTGATCTAGACAAAAGCATATGTTGTTTGTTGATACGCCTGCTTCATGCCTGTCTATACTTTGAAAACCGTTCTGGCTATATTATCCGCTAAGCTTCGATTTAGCATTCCTCGTGACTCGAATATGTTGATACATCTGCCACTGCATTGATATTTTAGAATGTCTAGATGGATCCAGTGGATTAGTAATTCGTCAGAATCAGTTCTGTGAGCCGTCACCGTGTGTCTCAAAGGACGTTAAGAGTATCCTAGTGACATGTCATACGATACTATGACGATGAAGAGAACCCAATTGTACATGCCCTAGCTTGCAATATCCCATATAGCAGCAGTATCATCTGCTCTTGCAGCTATTCATTTCACTCACAGGCCCCGTTCAACGAGCTAAATACTGATGGCCACAGTAATTTCACACGTCCAAACAGCCATTCATGACCTGTTAAGTTTGCTTTGGCATTGCTTCAAGCGTTGTTTTAGTCTGATTGAAATGGGCACAGTAGGTCATTCTTTTTTGCTGAGTGTTAACTGACAAATACGCACTAAAAAAATCTGAAAGACACTTTGTGAACAGATAACTTCATGTATACAGAGAAAAAAATATTCACTTAAAAAATAAACTGTTCTTCATGAGAAATGTGGAGAGTTCATATACTATTTCAATATAACCATACAAAAATGGATAATTACAAAATGATAAGAATAGAAAGTATATTACAAAGGACAAAAGTCCAGAATATGGCAGCACAATCTTAAGTACTCCCAATATGGCAATCCTCAAAAATTAGCATATACGATTCCCAATGGTAGAGCAGAGTCTGCGCCAAAATTGAATGGTCCGATTATGTATTAAAGCTTCTATCACCAGCATCTCCCAACCCGGGAACTATGTACCTGTGGGTACAAATCAACAACCTTAGTCATTGCTCCGCTTGATTGGTAATGCGTTATACTGAATAATGGAGATTCGATGTACACATTTTACAGAATGAGCATTGAATGGCTAGAAGTTTAAAACAGTACCCTCTCTCGTCTACTTCAGAATCGATCATCCCTGCGTACACATGGAGCCTGGAGACAAGAAACAGAGTAAACAATAGGAGCTTGATATACACATGTGCATGGCTTATGATCTATTCTTACCCAGGGAACTTGTTGCTGAGCTTTTGTAGCGCAGGAGGTGCTGCAACAGCTGATACCTGCATCATAAGAACAATAGGTGTTAGTTGATTTGAACGAATAATTGAGAAATAAATACAGAAAAATTCCATGAACTTACAACTTTAATTTGTTTGCTTGTAACTCCACGGTCAACCAACAAGTCAATAGCAGCAACGATTGTCCCACCTAAAGGCATACAAGTTGAATGTATAATCATTGTATTTATGTGTTAGTATACCAGCCATTCTGCTTACATGAATCAATCTATAACTTTTGTTGTCTCTTTTATTACTAAAAATAAGCATTCTTTCTTTATCTTTCTTTCTTTGAGGAGATTAATGTTCTGTTACTTGACATGATAATTAACATGTAAATGAAGGAGAACTAGAAACATATTGCAATTGGATGGTATTCAAAATGAACTTCTTTTCACTTATTAGTGAAGAGGATCACACATGAAGAGTGTTAGGCAGAAACTGTATTGTTTAGGTAAAGCTGATTGTTACCAGTGGCCAGCATTGGATCAATAACTAGCACACGAGTCCCCTCGGGAATCTTTTCTGGCAAGCTGCATTAAATGAGATAAAGGAAAAGAAAGGAAGAATATGAGACTACTTGAATTCACATAGGTGATTAATTTATTCCCTAAGGGTAGAAGAAATAGAATTACTACTCCCTCCGTTCCATAATTATTGTCGTGGTTTTGGTTCAAATCACGACAACAATTATGGAACGGAGGGAGTAACTGAAATGGAAGTAAAAAACTACGTAGTACGCATTATCAAGGTAAGGTTGGTTTCACAATTTAACCATACCACTCTACTAAATAGCAATGAAACCCCTGTTTTGTAATATTTGCATGCCTTACTGTGTATTGTAAAGACTTGCATAGGTAAGTACATTCATATCAAGTTCCAAGACAAAATACTGACTTAAGTACTCCCTCCGTCCCATAATATAAGAGCGTTTTTTACACTGCACTGGTGTCAAAAACGCTCTTATATTATGGGACGGAGGGAGTAGTTCAGTAGGGACTCATATATCGAAGGTCAAACATAATCATGCGTCTGCCTGATGCCTAATTAAAAAGTACTACATAGATATTTAAATAAGCGCTTGCAAGATGAAAAAGCATTTAGCACATACTTGTTGAGATATACCGAAGGTTGAAGTGTTTCTTCATCCCTACGAAGTCCTTCATGTTCAATGAAACGGGCAGATAAGAATAATGGTACATAGCTCTCAAGGCACATGGCGTAATTGACAAAGAAAATACTAACGCATTGGATTCACGAAGTTTAGCTTTACTATAATTCCACATGCTCTAAGGAAATATATTTCTTATTTTGGTTGGAAACAAACATTGTGCATATTTCAAACATTATGCATCTGACCAAAACCTTGTGCACATTAAATCCATAATATCCAGCATCGGTATTTAGAGAAACAAAACAAATCAGCTAAGATTACTGGAAATGGGCCATGCAGCCAATGTAAGCAATATGTTAACATAAAGCTAATTGACATTTTCAATAAAAAACAATGTTTGACTGCAATTTATGCAAACAACTTACCAAGGTGATAAGTCTTGGTGGCTGGCAAAATTGATGAAGCGTTTTCAGCTAGAGCAAGACCAGCTCTCAGAATTGGAACAACCTGTTATACACGCTAATGAAAAGAGTAAATATACTCATATACAATACAAACCAAATGCAATAACTAGTGCTAAGAAATAGACTTACCATAACAGGCTCCCTTGGATCAATGAATTCAACACTTGAAACAGCCACGGGTGTTTGGATTTCTCCTGTGATTGTAGGCTGCAAGTGTTTCAAACAGTTTAGCACCATGCCATTAATTCTCTCTACAGTTAAATGTTTAAAAGTACATGCAAAATAGGTTGGATAAGAAGTGGGGATGGAAATATTATGAGCTACTATGATCTATAAATTCAGGTATTACTGGCATTCATCATTCAGCCAGGTAACAACATTCAATGCCATTTCAAAACTGCCTGACACTGGTGTCACTCTCACGGAATATTTTTCATTGCCGTGCTTTACAAATGTAAGATGATCAACGGATAATTCCGAGCCATGCAAGATTTCCACTCACCAGCCAATCCCTGCAGGCTTCATATATGAGGAGACGACCAAGCTCTGCCATAGCACTCCCTACAACAAGTTACAACAACCATCTCAATTTATAACCGTGCAAACTTCAGCAAAACGCTTCTTATATACGGAAGTCAATCAACAACAAATTGCCGCCAGCAGGTTGGGTTCAATTGCAACATGGAAGCCATTTCGGAGGCACTCACGGAAGACGGCGCAGGGCGTCTGCTCGTTGCGCAGGACGGAGACCCAGTGTTTTATCAGCGGGTGCGGCGGGACGAACACCTGCGAAACAAACACACCAAGCGCCACTGAGCGCGCGCGCACGCACGTGCAAACGAATAAACCGAGCCAGGCGGAGGCATCGCCGTCGAGAGGAGCCAGATCCGCACCAGCATCTGGCCGCCGGAGGCGGGCGACCGCGACGAACCGGTGGCGGCGTCGGGGCTCGCCGCCCTCGCCACCGCCAGAGACGGCCGGGGCCTGCGGACGAGCAGCGGGGCCGGGGCGGCGTGGCGCGCGGGTTCGACGAGCGCGCGGGAGGCGAGGGAGCAGTAGGAGGCTTGCACGAGGCGGCGCGGTGCGCACGGGCGGCGATGGAGGGGCGCTCCCGCGGCCGCGGCCGCGGCCGTGGCGGGCGACGGCATCGCGAGGGCGGTGCGGAGTGCGGATGGAATGGATGCGGGCGAAAGCGAGCGCAGTGACGGGTGCGACGGTGGGATACGGTGGGGTCGTGTCTTTTTGGCGCATCTTGAGTATCTTTTAACTACCTGTAAATCCACTTGTTGTACTCCGTACTGGTGTTTTTGAATCTTCTGTAAATCTACTTATTTCAGTAGAGAAAAAAATTACAAACTTTTTTGCAGGGTATTACTCCCTCCGCTTTTATTTAGTCTGCATATTAGATTTGACTGAAGTCAAACTTTGCAAAATTTGACCAAGTTTAGAGAAAATAATATAGACATTTACAATAACAAATTTACATGATGTGAAAGTACATTCAATAAAACCGATTCCTAGCTGCCCTCCAAAATTTTAAGGTTGCCGAATCTCAAAGAATGCCTCTCAAAACACTCCACCAGAAGACCCATACTTTGGGTACAATTTTCAGTTTTCATAAGGCTTTCCACAACTGTTCTTGAGAAGATGGAGCTCCCACTACCATCCCTTCCTCTAGTCCATGAAGCTCGTTGCAAGTCACAGGAGTATGGTATGATGATTTTACAGTGTAGGTTCCCGAATTTTCCAAGGCCCATGCCAAAGTATCTTCCCCCTCCTGCAACTCTCTAAGGGATGTTCAGAACCGCATCCGCATGAGGAGGGAAGAGGTTTTTACGGACCATATCGTTGTTCCACCCTCCTGTATATGGATCAATCACGTCCGAGACTATCTCCACCGAGTCGTTACTCAATCCGCCCATTGGCATAAGCCTGACAATATTTGGGATCCATTTATTCGTTAATGTGAAGATAGATGATCCATCACTAACACGTTTGATGAGCCCCACATCCAAAGCAACACGCTCCACTACAAATAGCCTTCCATGTACTCAAAGATCTAGGAGACACATTAGCTTGCAAAAAGCTCATATGCGAGAAGTATTTACCCTTCAATATGCTGGCGCAAAGAGAGCCCGCACTGGCTAGAAGACGCCAGCCATATTTTACTAGCATCACCAAACTGAATTGTTCAAAGTCCTGAAAGACCATGCCGCCAACCTATTTTGGTGTAGTCAATTTCTTCCAAGATATCTCTTGCATCACCAAATGGAGAGATCTCTTGTCCAAAGAACTACCCCACCAATATTTGGCCATACAAGATGTGAAACTCTTGCATACATTTTTAGTTAACTTGAAGCAACTCATGTTGAAAATGGGGATCGCCCGAATCACTATTTTCAATCAAACCTCCTTCACGAATAAAACTCACAACCCATCCTACCTTTGGAGAGTCGTAAACAACCAAATTCACCATCTTCGCAAAATCTTCTTCGTCCTTACCAACAATGGCACCTCCACCTTCTTCCGGCTCGACGCGTAGCTTCTCTTGACTCCACTCGCGGACGCTTACCCGCACATCTTCTCCCACTCCACTGAAGGAAATATGCCCAAGAGGCAATAAAAAAGTTGTTATTTATATTTCCTTATATCATGATAAATGTTTATTATTCATGCTAGAATTGTATTAACCGGAAACTTAGTACATGTGTGAATACATAGACAAAACAGAGTGTCCCTAGTATGCCTCTACTTGACTAGCTCGTTAATCAAAGATGGTTAAGTTTCCTGACCATAGACATGTGTTGTCATTTGATGAACGAGATCACATCATTAGAGAATGATGTGATGGACAAGACCCATTCGTTAGCTTAGCATTATGACCGTTTAGTTTTATTGCTATTGCTTTCTTCATGACTTATACATGTTCCTCTTACTATGAGATTATGCAACTCCCGAATACCGGAGGAACACCTTGTGTGCTATCATATGTCACAACGTAACTGGGTGATTATAAAGATGCTCTACAGGTGTCTCCCATGGTGTTTGTTGAGTTGGCATAGATCAAGATTAGGATTTGTTACTCTGTGTATCGGAGAGGTATCTCCGGGCCCTCTCGGTAATGCACATCACTATAAGCCTTGCAAGCAATGTGACTAATGAGTTAGTTACGGGATGATGCATTACAGAACAAGTAAAGAGACTTTCCGATAATGAGATTGAACTAGGTATGATGATACCGACGATCGAATATCGGGCAAGTAACATGCCGATGACAAAGGGAACAACATATGTTGTTATGCGGTTTGATCGATAAAGATCTCCATAGAATATGTAGGAGCCAATATGAGCATCCAGGTTCCTCTATTGGTTATTGACCGGAGATGTGTCTTGGTCATGTCTACATAGTTCTCGAACCCGCAGGTCCGCACGCTTAATGTTCGATGATGATTTGTATTATGAGTTATGTGATTTGATGAACCAAAGTTTGTTCGGAGTCTCGGATGAGATCACGGACATGACGAGGAGTCTCGAAATGGTCAAGACATAAAGATTGATATATTGGAAGGTTATGTTTGGACACCGGAATGGTTTCGGAAAGGTTCGGACACTTTCCGGAATACCGGGAGGTTACCGGAACCCCTTGGGGGTTAATGGGCCTTCATGGGCCCTAGTGGATAGAGGAGGCAGCGGCCAAGTGGAGGCGCGCGCCCCCCCAAGCCCAAACCGAATTGGACTAGGGTTGGGGGGGCTTTCCTTCTTCTCCTCCACCTCTTTCTCCTCCCCCCCTTCTCTGGAAAAGGAAGGGGGGCCGAATCCTACTTGGACCGGGAGTCCAAGTAGGACTCCCCCCTTGGCGCCCCCCTTGGGTCGGCCTCCTCTCCTCCCCCCTTTATATACGTGGGAAGGGGGCACCCCAAAGACACACCAAGTCTTCTCTTAGCCGTGTGTGGTGCCCCCCTCCATGGTTACACACCTCGGTCATATCGTTGTAGTGCTTAGGCAAAGCCCTACGCCGGTAACTTCATCATCACCATCAACACGTCGTCGTGATGACGAAACTCTCCCTCGTCTTCAACTGGAACAAGAGCTCGAGGGACGTCATTGAGCTGAATGTGTGCAGAACACGGAGGTGCCGTACCATCGGTGCTTGGATCGGTTGAATCGTGAAGACGTTCGACTACATCAACCGCGTTACTAAACACTTCCACTTTCGGTCTACGTAGGTACGTGGACACACTCTCCCCTCTCGTTGATATGCATCACCTAGATAGATCTTGCGTGATGGTAGGATTTTTTTTGAAATACTGTGTTCCCCAACAGTGGCATCTGAGCCAAGTCTATGCGTAGATGTTATATGCACGAGTAGAACACAATGAGTTGTGGGCGATAATAGTCATACTGCTTACCACCAACGTCTTACTTTGATTCGGCGGTATTGTTGGATGAAGAGGCCCGGACCGACATTACATGACCGCGTTCATGGGACTGGTTCTACCGACGTGCTTCGCACACAGGTGGCTGGCTGGTGTCTGTTTCTCCAACTTTAGTTGAATCGAGTTTGACTACGGCCGGTCCTTGTTGAAGGTTAAAACAACACACTTGACAAAAAATTGTTATGGTTTTGATGCGTAGGTAAGAACAGTTCTTGCTAGAAGCCCGTAGCAGCCACGTAAAACTTGCAACAACAAAGTAGAGGACGTCTAACTTGTTTTTGTAGGGCATGTTGTGATGTGATATGGTTAAGACGTGATGAGATATAAATTGTTGTATGAGATGATCGTGTTTTGTAAAAGCTATCGGCAACTGGCAGGAGCCTTATGCTTGTCGCTTTATTGTATGAAATGCAATCACCATGTAATTGATTTACTTTATCACTAAGCGGTAGTGATAGTCGTGGAAGCAATAGTTGGCGAGATGACAACGATGCTATGATGGAGATCAAGGTGTCAAGCTGGTGACGATGGAGATCATGACAATGCTTTGGAGATGGAGATCAAAGGCACAAGATGATGATGGCCATATCGTGTCACATATTTTGATTTCATGTGATGTTTATCCTTTATGCATCTTATTTTGCTTAGTACGGAGGTAGCATTATAAGATGACCCCTCACTAAATTTCAAGGTATAAGTTTTCTCCCTGAGTATGCACCGTTGCTACAGTTCGTCGTGCCGAGACACCATGTGATGATCGGGTGTGATAAGCTCTACGTTCACATACAACGGGTGCAAGCCAGTTTTGCACATGCAGAATACTCGGGTTAAACTTGATGAGCCTAGCATATGCAGATATGGCCTCGGAACACTAAGACCGAAAGGTTGAACATGAATCATATAGTAGATATGATCAACATAGTGATGTTCACCATTGAAAACTACTCCATCTCACGTGATGATCGGACATGGTTTAGTTGATTTGGATAACATGATCATTTAGATAACCAGAGGGATGTCTATCTAAGTGGGAGTTCTTAAGTAATATGATTAATTGAACTTTATTTTATCATGAACTTAGTCCTGATAGTATTTGCATATCTATGTTGTAGATCAATAGCTTGCGTTGTAGCTCCCCTATGTTTTGATATGTTCCTAGAGAAAACTAAGTTGAAAGATGTTAGTAGCAATGATGTGTACTGGGTCCGTGATATGAGGATTATCCTCGTTACTGCACAGAAGAATTATGTCCTTGATGCACCGCTAGGTGAAGACCTATTGCAGGAGCAGATGCAGACGTTATGAACGTTTGACAAGCTCGATATGTTGACTACTTGATAGTTTAGTGCACCATGTTTTATGGCTTAGAACTGGGACTTCAAAAACATTTTGAACACCACGGAGCATATAAGATGTTCCAAGGGCTGAAATTGGTATTCCAAACTCATGCCCGAGTCGAAAGGTATGAGACCTCTGACAAATACTTTGCCTACAAGATGGAGGAGAATAGCTCAACCAGTGAGCATGTGCTCAGAATGTATGAGTACTACAATCGCTTGAATCAAGTGGGAGTTAATCTTCCAGATAAGATAGTGATTGATAGAGTTCTCCACTCACTATCACCAAGTTACTAGAACTTCTTGTGAACTATAATATGCAAGGGATGACGAAAACGATCCCCGAGCTCTTCACGATGCTAAAATCAGCAAAGG